CTTTTAGAGGGGTAGAATCTCTGATTGCATATGGATGATGAGCTTCACTCACAAGTTTGTATCTTGCAGCTTGTAAAATAGTGTGAACTTCTACAGAAGCTTTTACCTGACTTTTTGACTTTTAAGGACAGGAATACCCCACCAATTCATAGCAAGTGTCTTACTCCAGAAAGTATGCTGTAAAATACAAAGTGATTAAAAAGAAGAAAATCCATCTTGAAGAATGGGAGAAAAATTTAGGTGCAGAGAACAGACCGAACAGCAGCAGCTTGAAGATGCTTCCTAGACGTGGCCTTGTCTGTCAGTGTTTAAGAGGCATTTGGAAATGTCCTTAACAAGATACGCCAACTTTTGGTCAGCCAAAACGTGGTCAGGCGGTTGGACTACATCATTGCAGGTTCTTTACAACTGAAATATTCTAAACTGTATGAACATAAAGTCAAGTTTTATGAAATAGCTTTAACTTCATAACTGTGGTGACTGTGAAAAGGGAAAATAATATTTTACAGCTCATTCCAGCAGATCTAAGATGTTCAGCTCCAAAGGGGAATGTTACCTTCTACTACTCCTGCACTACATTTGGATTTAGAATTAAGATGAATTGAAGATGGTCAATGTTCCAGTTACATTTTTCATTAGACTAATAGAATGGAAATCATGAAAAAAAAATGGGCAAGCTTTTCTGGCACATGAGTTCTGGCACATAACCTGCCTGCTCTGCGTTATCTGCCAGAGATGAACGTTTATGTGACCAAGAGCTCTGACTTTTTTTTTTCTATATCTACCTGAACTCTGTGAATTACTACACTACTTCCAGAAAATCTTCCTTCTCAAATTCTTAGTTGCACACTTGTACTGTGTCCACTGTTGAAGGATTTCTAGATACATACCCTTACCAAAAGTCTTGATCATGGTCTTAGTCACAGGTTTTCTCATTTGATCCATTGCAGGTTCATGTATTAGACAGTCCAAGAGATTATTGGGGATTTACAGTGCTCGGTAGATGAACCTCTTCCTGAGAAAGCATCTAAGAAGCTACCATTAGGAAACATGTCTGTGAAATAATGTGCCTGTCTGTTGAATTTTGGTTGCCTACTATACAATTGTTCTTGAAACTAGCTTTTAAATGTTGTACTCTATAACTGTGTTTGTACATGTGCTATTTTAAAAAAACTATACTTGTCTTAACATTTTGATTTTATTATTGTGGGATTGCTCTGTTACAGGTTATCTCTTCACGTGAAAATTGTCATGAATTTCCCAGACCAAAAATTAATGTTTATATTAATAAACATACTCTGGCAACTCCAAGAAATGGTATATTAAGAGATATTACAAAATTTGATTAAATTTGCGGAGAAATGATGAGGCACAGAAAAAAATCCTTCTTCTAGGGCCTGCAGCAATGCATATTAGGCAAGATAAACAAAGCAGGCCAGGAATATTTGGAGAGAAAGACACCTGCTTCTAAAAGGGTACTGTGGTATCCAACCATTCCATAATTAGCATTGTCTGAGGGAACAGAGGGAGTGGGAAATTGTTTGCTATTGCTCATGTTTTAAATTACACTGTTTAAAACTCCCGTGTGGTTCATGTACCAGTGTGGTGCATGTACCTAAGCACACAAATACATGTAAGTACTACACAATCTGCTGCTGAGGTCACAAACAAGTAGAACACCTTAAGAATGTCACCAGGATGCATTTTCTGTTTCAGTGAAAGCATGTTAAACCTATACTGAGGAAACATGCCAGGCACGATGTGTCCATGGTGTACAATCTTTTGAGACCAGAGGACATTGAAAACAAATACATACCTATCACACAGCTCAGAGCTGGCTTGTTATCTATAGCAGTAAACTTCAGAGGAGTTGATCTGTGTGCTGCATGTTCCTGGATTGATTCATTGGGGGATAGTGAAAGTATGTTTTGAGAGATTTCAAGAGCCCCTTAAAGAGAAGTTGTGTCTTTGCTAAGAATTCAAAGCTTCTCAGTAGATGCCAAAATTCTTTTGGCATCTTTTTCTAAGCTAGAATGGAAGCTCTTAGAATAGGTAACAGCATGTAATAGCACCTCATGTTAAAGCTTTGTTGTTAGGCATGCCTTGGGTTTTATAAAGTGGAAATACCTGGGATCTACTTGGACCAGAACTCAGGACACTGTATAAAATGCCGCCTTAGGGAACTGAAAGAGCAACCAAAACTGACGGAGGTCAGCATCAACTGCTGTAGTTGCCAAGACAAATGGACACTACAGTCACATAAATTGGGATACTTGTATAACAAAGGTTTTGTAATTTATAAATCATTATTATGATGCACCTTGGTCTCATCAGGACCTAATCATGCAGACTTTTAGCTACTCAGTTGTGTTTAGGCTACAGACAAATAGACTAACTTCAGTCTGCAAACCTATTTCATTAAAAGCACTGTACATTGAAATACACATTCATGAATCATTGGATGCAGTAATTTCTTTATAAAGTAATATGCTCAAATAATCTATAAAGAGTAGTACCATAGATCAGTACTGTAGAGGAAAATTTAAATGCTTTAGGAAATACTACAACCTGCTGGTTCCAGTTGTGTGAAGTTTTTTAATTTAAAAATAGTTAACCTGTTTTAGCTGAATGTGATCCACTACTATATACTCTGATCACTTTCCTCTTTTTGTCTCTTTCTCTTTAAACTGTCAACAAATCCAAAGTCTAGGAACAGCAGACATTTCCCAACTTTTCAAAATTTGTACTGAGTAGACTGTGAAATAAAACATTCAGCAACAAATTGCAGCTGTTAACAGCCTAAAGAGTATCTGGGTGTTTTCAGATGTCCTGTTCTTCCAATGGATTTTTGATGTTTATTCCCTGTAGAGATTGAGCTTTCAGTTTTGGTGGGAAATTTTGTTTCCAGACTTTCCAATTGCAAAGATAAATTTGCAAATGTGGACCACACCACTGTTGATCTGTATCAAACACATAGAAAAAAAGGCGTTCAATATGAACTACCCTTTTTGACAATAGAATTTGAAGCCTGTGATCAGAAATCTTTTTATCAGCCTGCCCAGTTAGCTTCTGTATTCTGTATGAGTAGGTGCTGCATTTATTGAAAACACAGTTTGCATGCCTAAGCATACACTACTTAACCTTTTATTTTCCTCATAGTTGCTCAGGGGATCCCATTTTCATCTCAGACTCACAGACCCTACATTAATGTTTCTTAATTACATTACCTCTGCCATCTTCAGAGTACACTAAGGTAGTCATTTTCTGATGATAAATATGATGATCTATTCCCACCCATCCAGGTAATCTAACAACACAGACTAATCGGGTCAATTCTGACACTATCCACCTCTGGAGGGACTCACGCTGAAAAAAGAACAGATGGTACTTAATAAATTCTTCTAACCCTTTTGGAAAACAATGTCAGCCCATGCATCTGAAGACAGCACTTTGGATCACCACTAGCTTTGTACAACTTGCATTCAGCAGATCTCTACTTACATGGGTCAATACCACCCATTTGATGAAGATCCAACACGAAATGGACAGTAACAAACGAAAAGGCAACACATTTGAATCTGGGAAACAAAACAGACACAGAAGAATGGACGCTCCAGTGCATTAAATAAAGAAGAAAATAATTGCATATCTCTGCACAGAAAAGGAGGTTCTTAATACAATTTGCTCCATGTAATGATGGACATTTTTCTACTCTGGTCTTCATTTTCAACTAACTGCCCTCGTTAGGATAACAGACCAAATTCCCTCTGTAGCTAATCTTGGTGGTTGGCGGCTGAAGGCTGATCAGTGTCTTACTGAATTGCACAGTGATCACCTGCCTTTAACAGGCTTCTCTGCTGTGATGCCTAATTGTTTGCATCCCCTGAAAAAAACTAGTGTCTCACTTCTCCGATACTCATGAAGTATCACAGTAAAACTAAAGCTACTGTTTTTCCAAAGTTATTGGCAATGCTTAAGAGCTGGCAAGGGAAAAGTATGCAGGTCCTTGCACTGCTGAAACAGGTTGAGAGACAGGGAAAAGGTCAGGATTAAACAGTAGTTACAGACAATGGAATCATCATAGAATTATCAAAGTTTGGAGAGAACATGAAGGTCTTGAACACCTCCAGGAATGGTGACTCCACCGCCTCCCCGGGAAACCTATTCCAATGCCTCACCACGCTAGGAATGATTCTGTTTTGTTTTGTTTTGTTTCGTTTTCCCTAATATCTAACCCAAATGTGCTCTGTCTCAGCTTAAGGCCATTTCCTCTTGTCCTCTCACTTGCAGGCACAGCAGAAGAAACTGTTCCCCACCTGGCTACAACCTCCTTTCGGGGGGTTGTAGAGAGCGACGAGGTCCCCCCTTCCCCCCGAGCCTCCTCGAGACTAAACAAACCCAGCTCCCTCAGCCGCTCCTCGTGAGAGATGTTTTCTAGACCTTAGATCAAAGACACTTGTGTGAATGGCTGGACTGCCCACGGCTGGAAACAGTTTTAGCGTCACCCCGCTAACGCCAAGAAAGGGCGCAACCGAATAAACAAAAACATCCCCA